GGAACGTCGAAGTTTGGAGGATTTCAAAAGGAGGATTTCAATGGATGATTTCAATGGATTTTGTACCCGAAAGCTTCAAAGGATTTTGCCGAAAGAATGCCAGAATCTTTGTACCCAATTTGAAATCACACAGGATTTCAATTGAAGTTTCAAAATTGAAATCACACAATCACCTAGAATTTCAATTTTTGATTTCAAGGGATTTTGCCTAAAGCTATCCACCCATTAAAATCAAGGGATTTCGATTTCAACTAGAGGAATCAGAGATCACGAAGCTAGGAGATTGTGTACCCCAAGAGGGACACCGAAAGCTTATCCGAAGGAGGTTCTTTAGGTTCTGGCAAGAGTGGGAAGAGGGATGCCGAAAATTGTGTACGCTGAATAGGGACGCCGAAAGCTTGAGGCGCACGAGGCTTGAGGGGCTTGAGACTTGATTGAATCAAATTTTATTTATTTTTAAGAAGGAAGAGTTAAAGGCAAGTGTGTGAAGGAGTTAAGGGCAAAAGTGGGAAGGGAAGGAGTCATTTGAGTTGTCTTCCCTTCCATAATGGATCATGTATTAATCTTCAACTACTGCATTTATATTTTTAAAAATAATACTTTACAGCTTCAATCTTTATTTTTCCACTCTTCTAATTTGATTTTACATTTTTTTAGTCTATTTTACACTTTGATTCAATCTTTTTTTTTATTTCAAAGTATGCATTCAACAGATTTTATCTTACATTTTTAAAAATTTCTAAATCTAGATGTTATTTAAAATTTTTGAACGGTATAATTTTGATTTACTATCTTGTTTCCTAGAATTTAGGTGTACTAAAGATTTTGATGATGGATATTTTCGTCACAATTTCATAGGGGTAGTGTCAAGATAAATTTACCTATTTTGATTGGAGGGTAAATTTGTCCACATAAAATCTGGTAGTTCAACTCTAACTACCTTTTAGCCATTTTCGTGATATTTGATTATTTTGACCATTTTTCAAATCAAACTATTTAATATAGCCATTCTCTAGTTGCCCCTATATAGTTTGGATTTTGCTCATATAATATCGTTTACATTTTTTTCTTTTCAATTTCAAACCATTACGAATCAATGAAATTTTGGTGCGGCTAGAGTTTCTTTCTTTTTTGGTGAATAGGAAGGTATTTTAAGAATTTCTCTATTCCCAACTTTATAGTAGGAAATTTCATTCACCATCATAATTTCATTTGAGAATCAGATTCCCAATAAATTTAACACCTCCTACTATATTGTGTTTCTGCGTAAATTTGACTTGCACAAGCCAAATGACTTATCCCTTATGAGGTGTGAATGACCTGCAAAATAGAGATTAACACTCGGATATCTAAGTCAGTAATGGAATTCAATATATGTTACGCGTATTCATAAAGAATTTGAACATACCAAAGTGCGGTGACTTTTATGTCCTTTTATAAGCTTTTCATGGAAGAACATGGTATGTGGCTTCGAGATTCTTGTCTTCCATTGTGGAATGCCCAGCTTGGTGGTGGCACTGACCACGATCGATCGATCTTATTGTTAGGGCGCGTTGATATTGGGATGCACTAACGCGACTGAGAGTGTAATGGGCGTGCCTCCTTTGGGCAGGACTGGCTAGGCCAATCTAGCCTATTTTTCTGGTGCTTGTGACATGGACAATTTTATCCTCCATAAGATTATATATATGCAAAAATACCACTTTTAAAATACTTTTAAATCGTGGATTATAACTCAACTGAAACACAACACAAGTAGTGATTTCGAATTTACACCCCCAATTACAATTATATGTATATGTATGTATATTTCTTTTACTTTTTTGGTGTGTGCACTGTCCATATATTTATTTATTTATGTATTAAAGAAATAAAAAAGTTGTCCCTGATATCTTATCCAACCCGGAAGAACTGTGTTTACAGAGTAGGCTGAGAATCGGCGAGGGAGGGAAGTGGAAGGAAGATGGCTTCCATGGCTCAGCAATTCACTGGGTTGAGATGTGCGCCTCTGTCTTCTTCGCGTCTATCGACGCCATTTTCTCCGAGGCATTTGCAGAACAAGGCCCGTTCACTTCCTGTTCACGCTGCAGTTATATCCAGCCCCATTCCCAGTCCACAGACCAAGGAGCGTTTCAAGCTCAAGGAGGTCTTCGAGGATGCCTACGAACGCTGCCGCAATGCCCCCGTCGAAGGCATCTCCTTCACTCTCGAGGACTTCCATGCCGCTCTCGAGAAATACGATTTCGATTCTGAGATGGGAACTAAGGTCTTGTGTTCGCTTTCTTTCTCTTGTAATTTTGTGGGTTTTCTCGGTAATTACTCTGGCGGGCTTGAATGGTTTGTTGATTCGACGTTAGGGTGGGAAAAGAAGTTGCAATTGCTTGTGGGAATTCTGTACTTTTGTGAATTTTCTTGTCAATTTCCCTGGAAGGGATATTATGAACTTGAATTGTTTGTTAGTTCAATGGTTTAGTGGGAAAATATTGGTTGTGTTGTCTTCTAGTTTGTTATGTAATTTTGTGAATTTTATTGTCAACTACACTGGAATGTCGATATTGTGAACTTGAATGGTTTGTTAATTTTATGTTATGGTGGGAAAAGAAATATTGATAGTGTTATCTTCCAGTTTGTAATGTAATTCAGTGCATAACAGTGAAATGCTAGACGGGCAGTTTAAGAAGATTAGGTTGTAATGTATTCAGTGTCTATTTTCAGGTGAAAGGTACTGTGTTCTGTACGGATGCCAATGGAGCACTTGTTGACATTACTGCCAAGTCATCTGCATACTTGCCAGTGCAGGAGGCTTGCATTCACAGAATAAAACATGTAGAAGAAGCAGGAATATTTCCTGGTGTGAGAGAGGAGTTTGTTATTATTGGTGAGAATGAAGCTGATGATAGCTTGGTTTTGAGCTTGAGATCCATTCAATATGACCTTGCTTGGGAGAGGTGCAGACAGCTTCAAGCAGAGGATGTTGTTGTCAAGGGTAAGGTGGGTATTCCACACCATATTTGTGGTGCTTTTGTTCATCTTCGTTTTCTGAAGTATGGATATAGGAGCCTTGTCTACTTGTGTATGAGAAACTAGGAAGTACTATCGCATTTACAGTGGGGGGAATGGGGGGTTGGCTGGCTGGCTGTTCTACTCTATTCCCATTATCATTTGCTGTGCTTTTGCCATTCTCTTGTTCTTTCCTGAGGTTATTCATATGCAGCCATTCTTTTGTTCAATATTTAGGTGGTTGACGCAAACAAAGGTGGAGTTGTGGCAGTTGTGGAAGGCCTAAGAGGGTTTGTTCCTTTCTCACAGATATCATCGGTATTTCCTACAAACCCTTAAAGATATTCATATTTTGAAAGGTTTCCTGGTTTGATGTTTGTATATAATAGACTATAGCTATGTGTGAATTCCTTTCCTTTATGGTGTCAAGGATTATAGATGTAACAAATCTGAAAATCATTAGTATTATTTTAGTCTTCTTGATGTTAATCATATACTTATAGTTTACATCATACCTCCTTTATTATTTTCTTTGTGCAATTATTTCAGAAATCAACTGCCGAAGAGCTTCTGAACAAGGAGCTTCCTCTGAAGTTTGTGGAAGTTGATGAGGAACAATCGAGGCTTGTCCTCAGTAACCGTAAGGCTATGGCTGACAGCCAGGCGCAGCTTGGAATTGGATCAGTGGTTACCGGAACAGTTCAAAGCCTTAAACCTTATGGTGCATTCATTGATATTGGTGGAATCAATGGTCTTCTCCATGTTAGTCAGATCAGTCATGACCGGATATCAGATATTGCAACAGTTCTTCAGCCTGGGGACACTCTTAAGGTAGTTTATTGGCCTTCAAGTGACTGTAAGGGTTTCTTACACTCAGCTGTTACAAATTTTACAGTGAGTTCTTCTGGCATAGGTCATGATATTGAGCCACGATCGTGAGAGAGGCCGAGTTAGTCTCTCTACCAAGAAGCTAGAGCCCACTCCTGGTGACATGATTCGCAATCCAAAGCTCGTGTTTGAGAAGGTATTCTTTTTGCTGGCTGGGGTCATCTTTCCTGTCTTTTTTGTATGGATGCTGCTCTTCTTTGTTAGAAGTGCATATGCACGCAACACAAACGTACTTATTGTCTTTCAGTTACTATGTTTCCATAATGGTGAATTCCATTAGTTAAAGTTCAACTTTTATGGCTAAGATCTTGTGCCTTGCTAGGGTGGAGGAAATTACGGACTAATGTTACTAATTCTCCTTCACCTCTTCTAGCATGCTTTTCTTTCTTATTTTCAGCATTTTGTAGCTACAATTATATCAGGCTTTCTCTTGGTGGATATCCCTTGAGTGTTGAAAGCAAAACCTCTGATTTTGTTTCTATTGGCAGGCCGAGGAGATGGCACAAACCTTCAGGCAGAGGATAGCTCAAGCAGAGGCAATGGCACGTGCAGACATGCTTAGGTTTCAGCCTGAGGTATTTTACAGCCATCTGTCCTTGGTATTTTTTAACTTTACGCTGAGAATGTTTATGATAAATGCAACTAAATTTGACATGCTATTATGGAGTCTGAATCATGCTGTGGTCCGAATTCATGAACTAATGGATTAAAAAAACACACACACACACACACACACACACACACACACACACACACAATGACTACATATTGTTGCCAGTATACACGTTCTTTATACTTTTTTGGATACTTTATATTTTCAGATGAATGTCCAATTATGAATTTTCGGAAGCGTGTGTGTATATATTTTGAGAAAGGCTTAGTGTGTATATATTTTGAGAAAGGCTTATGGACGCATGACTAATTTGATAGTTTCATAGCTGTGTGATTGAGGATGTATTCTTTATATTGGTTCGGTAACTTTCCTTATTAACTAACTTGATAAACTATCTACATTAATAATCTCTATCTTTTTGTGTGTCGAATAGAAAGACAATGATGTAGAATTATTGAATTGAATAGAAAGGAACATTAGGAAATGATAGTAGGCTTTACTCTCTACGATATTGTGTTGGAGATATGGTACAATTTATCAGGAGTCCTCTACGATTAAGAGTGTAATGTCAAAAAGTAAAAATCTACGGTTTCGTTTGATCATTATTTTGTTCTTAGTTTACTGTTTTAGAAATCATGCTTATTTTAGTACAATTTGATTGATAAAATTTTCACCTCTCTTGAAAACGTATTTGAATTTTTAGTCAAATTACAAATTTGAAAACAACTTTTTTGGGTTTTAAAAATTTGACCTAGATTTTTTAAATGTTCAAAAAACTATATAATGAAACAAAGGAACACATAGGTGAAAGTAATGTTTCTAGGCTTAATTTTAAAGACAGAAAACCAAAGATGAAATGCTTATCAAATGGGGTCTATATGATTTAGTATAAGTTTTGGACTAATTAAACGTGTTTTTAACTTATTAAAAACACTTATAGTTCTAAATTAGTGTTTTGCTATATGACAGATACTTTTTGTAAATTTCTAAAACAGTAAGCAAAGCCATTATTAGTATTTTTGTTTCTAAGACTGCTTATTTATATGATACCTCCATCAAGAATACTATTCTCAAAAATTATTCAAACACACTCGAAGTCAAACTACTCGGTAATGCTATAACTATAAGGGTAGAATATCGACTTTGATTATTCAGATATTGAACTATGCTCCCTCCCTATCTTCTGTCATCCTTTATTTCTCCCTACAACAGATTGTATGTTGTTGAATTTAAACATAAAGCATGACATGTTTCCTCAATCATACAGAGTGGATTGACTTTGACTACTGATGGAATATTGGGTCCAATTACCCCAGAGTTGCCTGTAGAGGGTTTAGATTTGAGTGATGTTCCTCCAGCTGAAGAATGAGGTATCAAAGCTTTCCCACTGCTGTTGTTTCAATTTGTATACAAACTAATTGTAATTGGGTACATAACTTAAGCCCTCCATGCCATAGCTTAATGCTGAATGCTTAATGAAAGCCTGCTTGCCAGTTCATTTTCACCCTCTCTTATGTTGTTTCATTGGTTAGGAATTGAGGACTAGATTTGGTTTGATTAACACTGACATGCCAAGTTAGAAAGAATTTCTCGATCACCTCAACCGTCTTCAGTTTGTAGATGACGCACTTCTCATCTCGAGCGACGACTTAGTAAGCTAAAAAAATTAGAAATGTAGCCCTTGCTAAATAGAGTTGGAAGTTTAACTCGTTCACAAAGAATGGATCCCTAGATGGAAAGGTTATGTCAAGTTTAAAGAGTTTTGGACTTATATTGTTATCTAAAAATGTTGGCTATGAAATTTAAAAGTTCTCCATCTAGAAATGTTTATCTTTATCTTGATCTTATAATGAGTATCCATCTTGTCTGCAGGATCATAAACCATTTTACACCATCATCTCAATTAATATTATCGTCTCATTCTCCATTTAAGATAAGATACAAGACGATATCCATTAAATATCTACCTACCAAAATGATCCAATATTTCAGTTCTTGAAGTCTTGGACTTGCAAAAAGAATTATTCTTTTTCAAATCTTTTTGTTATCACGAAAATTCGATTTCTGATGTCAACGGCTGCTTTCATGGAATTAATTCGTAGCGAATGTGTGAACAATATACAAAAATATAACAAGCATGTGTGAGTGCGATGCAAAGTATATCAATCTACGGGAAAATGAATTGATTGACTATTCAATGCAATATTGTAACAAAATCAACTAGAGGTAGTGTGAAAGTACACTTAAAGTTTTATATAACTCATGCTAATGTTGTCAGATGTTTGCCGCCTATGAAAAATTCTAAATAGGTCCATGGTAGTTCAAAGTCAAAAAAGTTTGAAGTTCAAATTTAATAGTTTACAAAGTCCGCTCCCTAGAAATACTTTTAAGTTTGAAGGCAAAAGGAAAGGTTCATTAATATCACAAAAAAAAAAAAAAGAATCTAGGGGAAGGGGTTTTGGAGCCATTTCTATCAAAAATCTAAGTTCACGTCATCATCACACAACAACATTTTAGTGAATTTTTCAATTTTATAGAATGAATTGACACATTAAAGACAAGACAAAGAAGCTTGAAAGGCAGATGAAAGGATATCATCTTGTGTTTTGGTTTGGTCATCCACCACCAAACATCCTATATGGGTGATGGCAGACTATGTGAGGCCACTATTTTACCTCTTTTTCAACTTCAAACTATAAGATAATGTTGTTTTTTCCCTCATGATATATGGGCCAAATGCAAACCATCCCTTTTGTGTTTAATTTTATTTTTAAGTTTTTAATTTATCCAATTTTACACGACAAACGATGTGATTTAGAAGGTGAAAAAGAAAAATTATTCAATGTGACTGTCACTCTTATAATTGTTACATGTATAATCATTTTTAGTATTTCTATCCTTGATTGAACTTTTAAACTTTTGTTTTAATCCTTCGACTTTGTATTTAAAAAACTATTTTAATCCTTGTCATTAAAAAAAATCACATAATCGTATTTTCTTTAACAAGTATGACATTAGGTTTCCATACATTTTCAAAATTATTTACTAAAAATCAATTACAACGATAAATAGTTTTTGTTGCAAAAAATTAGACACTAACTTTTAGTTGATAGCAGTAGACATTTTTATCCACCGAAACATGTTCGAATTAAATAAAATAAAAATATTTAAAAGTAAAGTAATTAAAATAAATAATCAATATTTATAATATTTTTTTTTCTTAAATTCAATGATACTGAAGAGTGAAGAAGATTCAAACTTCTAACTATTTAGTCATATAAAATGAGGATCTAACTTTCAATTTTTTAATTGGAGATATATGTCAATTATTGTTGAGTTATGCACGCTCTGATTGGATATACGAAGTTTTTAACCGATTGACAAAATTATATTAATTAAAACGAAAGCAAGTATGGAAGTTTATTAAAAAAAAAAAGGATAGGGCTTTTTTTCCCATAAGATTCCTTCAATAAAATGAATTCTAATAGTGTAACGCAGCCAATGTAGGAAAACAAACAGAGACCAATTTTATTATTTTATTTAGGGGTTGGGGGAAAGCGAGAAAAACAGGAAGCCAATTTCGATCCTCCATTTTAGACCCAGAAGACGAGAGAGCTTCGATCGAGTTCCCAATCAACCATGGCTATGTCGAGCTTCGCAAGACGAAAGGCCTTCTTCTTCTCCAGAAATGTGTCCCATTCTTCTTCCTCCATGGATGTTCTCAAGCTGACCTTCTCTAGAGGCTTCGCTTCGTCGGGATCTGAGGAGAATGATGTCGTCGTCATCGGCGGCGGCCCCGGAGGCTATGTCGCCGCCATCAAGGCGGCTCAGCTAGGGCTCAAGACCACCTGCATCGAGAAGCGTGGGACTCTCGGCGGTACCTGTCTCAATGTTGGTTGCATCCCGTCAAAGGTGATTTACTTTCTGAGATTTCTTCGTTTGTTGCTTGGTTTTTGGTGCGTTTTCTTTATCAACTTCATCCTTTGTGGTATCGGTGATCAAATTCTCTGACTCGGTTGGTTCTTGCTGAAATTTTCTGTTTCCTTTAGATTTTGTATTGGAGCGGTTTCTTATTGTTGTCTGTTCAGGTCTGTCTCTGCGTGGCTGTTTTGTCAAATGCCCTAATATGATTTTTGGTTTGCTGCAAATCTCATATATCTAGTTAGAAGTGAGTGTTTTTTCGGCTATGGTTGGATTTCAGATTTTGAACATCTGCAGTGCAATATAATCGACTATTTTCCCTCTAGGAAACGTGATGCAGCTTTTTCCTTAATTTGGACAAAGAAATGATTGAATCTCTAGTGTTCTAAAATTAATTGAGCTGAATCAAATATGATTGATCTGGGTAGCCATAATTGTCTATGCATAGCATAAATGTTGATTACCCATTAATGTTAACTCATGTTGCTCACCTCTGACGACTCGATTCAATATTTAGATCATTAGCGGTAACTAGAAGTCTCTAACATATCGACTGCGGTTTACTTGAATAATTTCAGGCACTTCTTCATTCCTCCCACATGTATCATGAAGCCAAGCATGCATTTGCAAACCATGGGGTGAAGTTTTCTTCAGTTGAGGTTGATTTGCCTGCCATGATGGCGCAGAAAGATAAAGCAGTGGCTAATCTTACACGAGGTATTGAAGGCTTGTTTAAGAAGAATAAAGTGAACTATGTCAAAGGCTATGGAAAGCTAATCTCCCCGTCTGAAGTTTCTGTTGACACCGTTGACGGGGGAAACACAGTTGTGAAAGGAAAGAATATCATAATTGCCACTGGTTCTGATGTCAAATCATTACCTGGAATCTCCATTGATGAGAAGAGAATTGTTTCATCTACAGGAGCTTTAGCTTTGTCTGAAATTCCCAAAAAGCTTGTGGTCATCGGCGCTGGCTACATTGGGCTAGAGATGGGTTCCGTATGGGGAAGAATTGGCTCGGAGGTAACTGTTGTTGAGTTTGCTTCTGATATTGTCCCCACCATGGATGCAGAAGTCCGCAAGCAATTTCAACGATCTCTAGAGAAGCAAGGAATGAAATTCAAGCTCAAAACTAAGGTGGTAGGAGTTGACACATCTGGAGATGGTGTAAAGCTGACCCTTGAGCCAGCAGCCGGCGGGGACCAGACCACTCTCGAGGCTGATGTCGTTCTTGTGTCTGCTGGTAGAAGTCCTTTCACTTCCGGACTTGGACTTGAGAAGTTAGGAGTGGAAACAGATAAGATAGGACGGATTCTAGTAAATGAAAGATTTGCTACAAATGTGCCTGGAGTCTTTGCAATTGGGGATGTAATTCCAGGGCCAATGTTGGCTCATAAGGCTGAAGAAGATGGTGTTGCCTGTGTGGAGTTTATAGCCGGTAAGACAGGTCATGTGGACTATGACAAGGTCCCTGGGGTTGTATATACGCATCCTGAGGTAGCCTCTGTTGGGAAGACGGAGGAGCAGGTGAAGGCGCTCGGGGTTGCTTATCGTGTTGGGAAGTTTCCATTCATGGCAAACAGTCGAGCCAAGGCAATTGACAACGCCGAAGGTCTTGTTAAAATATTGGCTGAAAAGGAAACAGACAAGATATTAGGAGTGCACATAATGGCTCCCAATGCTGGAGAGCTGATTCATGAGGCTGCCATAGCTTTACAATATGATGCTTCGAGCGAGGATATAGCCCGTGTTTGCCATGCTCATCCCACAATGAGTGAGGCGCTGAAGGAAGCTGCCATGGCAACCTACGACAAGCCAATTCATATATAGATGCAGTTAAACGGGCGTTCTTCGATTTTTTTTTCTTAATCCATATTTTCGTTTTCGTCGAAAGAAGATTTGGAATGACTTTGGCGAAGTCGTTTATTTTCCTTGTCACTCCCTTCAGAGAAGGGGTCGAAGTGTTTCAAATACAATTTGCTGTTCTCAGCTCCCATTTCACTGTGATTACAATAATTTTCTAGTGCTTTTGATACCTTGAGTTTTGAATAACACACTAAAAGGGAATATGATGTTGAACGATTTGAATCGTGAAAGCCTGCTGAGTTTGCTTCTATGAATGCAGGGAAAATAAATGTGGCAGCAAAAACACAAAGTAGAACACCAAGAACGAGATCTCATCAGAGATTTGTTCATTAGAAACTCAAACAGTATCATCATGTTCATAATTAAGCTCAATCTGCAGCTTGCATCAGAAAGCAGCAGAACAGAGCGTATACAGGAGTAAATACAAATAAAACAAAACCCTTCCGAGTACTACATCAAGACAGTGGAGATGAGCTTATTACACTGCATAATACAAATGCCAAAATGAAAGGAGCAAACCATATATTGGCCTCCAAATTAGCTGTGAATTAAGGTCGGTTTGTAGTCGATAACGATGACCTTGTCCAAGGAAGCAAGGAACAAGTTTGCAAATTCCACATGTGCTGGATGAGATATATACTCTGCTATGCCCTGTGTACTCTCGAAGGTGGATTCAAAGACGTGAGTGAAACCTTGGTGTAGATTTTCAATGCTAACATCCTTGCCACTGTCATATTTGAGAAAAATGGACTTTAAAGCTAGCATTACCACACAAAATGTAAGTAGGTATGTAGAATTTCAAGAAAGTATTACAGTTATGGAAACAAATCGTTTTTCTTACCATAAAATCTCAAAATGTTTTTTTTAATATAACAAGTGGGGTAGAAAGGTTCGAACTCATGTCATGACATCTTAATCAGAGACAGATCCCAATTATTGCTAAGCTAAACTCATATTGGCATAAATCCTCAAAATTTTGGGGAAAAGACGAAGTGATTAGTATGAAAATTTTGTCTGAAATGCATTATATATAATATGTTTTGTGATGAAAAACCAAACTTTGGTTAAGAAACATGAAAGAAAAACAAATGCATACAACAAAAAAATCAGCCCCACAAAAGGAGTCCTAAATCTTAATGTGCAGAAAAGGACAACTATCCAAAAGAAATTACAAAATGAGAGACGGACATAACCACATCCTAGGGGTGAGCATCGGTGGGGTCAGTTTTTGACCAACCCCAATGTCGAAAACTGACCTAGTCGGTTTCCAAATCTGGAAACCGACGGTTTTTTAACTATATCTGTACCGACCGACCGATTGATCGGTTTTGTCGGAAAATCGACGCTTAAAAATTAAAAAAAAAATGCAAGGAGCAGCAGCCATGGGCTGTGAAAGAAAGGAGGAGTCAACAATGAGGGTGGGTGAGAACTGGGGAGTGAGAAGACAAGAAAAGAGCAGCCGTTGAGTTGAAGAAGAAAATAATGCAGGGGAGAGATGGAAGTGAGAAGGGAAAAAAAACACAGGAGACAGATGAAGAGAAGAAAATAATGGAGGGGAGAGAAGAGAAAAAAAAGGAGTGAGAGGATATGAGAGAAGAAAGATAAATTAAAATATAAAATTGAAAAAAGAGAGAAAATGTGCCTCAAAACCCGCGGGCATTATGGCCGTTGGCCTTCAAAGTTGTTGCAGGAACAGCACAGCAGACTGCATACTGCTCTTTTTTTCTTTTTTAAATATATAATTGGTCGGTCGGTCAGAAAATCACTTTTCTGACCAAACCGATCGACTAGAATATGGTTTTTCTCTACGTAAAACCGACTCCGACTCCGACCGAAGTATTTACCAAACCGACCGATAGATGTTGGTTCAGTCGGTTTTAATTGGTTTTTCGGTCTTCTATGCTTACCCCTACCACATCCCACATCTCTCTCAAGACCTCTAAATCCTCTAAAAATTTTATCATTCCTCCCCTGCCAAATACCCATAAAATGGCAAAAAAAAAAAAACAGACACACACGCACTAAAGGATTATGCCCTTGTCTCGAAAAGAAGGATTCAGAAATATCGTTTTCCATTGCAACAATCTCTATTTTGTGCCCCATAAATCCCAAAACTTCTGTCATAAAACAATTCCATAAAGCCTGTAAAGCCTGAGAATGCGGACAGTTCTAAATTAGAAGAATTTCCTATTTATAAAATTTATACATGGCCATTCATACCATCCTCCTGCCTAACCATACCCTCGTTCAAATTTTCCTTTTACAAATAAGTCTCTATTACCTAGTATGATTGAAGCAGAGAGCTTTTACCCAGCTTCTCCCACCAAGAAAGAATAAGAGCATAACATGCGAGAAAACTTGAAGATCAAGAAACCAGGGGCTTGTTTGCATAACAGTTATCAAAAAATAGTTTTTAAATTTCTGTTATCATTATTATTTTCAAGAATGGTGATTGACTGACCATAAACCCTAATGGATATTGAAATCATCATTCACAAATTTGTTATCTAAGAAGAAATAAATTTTTTTTTTTTTAAAAAAAGCCATGTTTGAGAAAACACAGTAAATAAAAACAATAGGAAAACAACTTTTAGAAAACAATAATATAAACATATTTCACTGAATTTTTATCTAAAAAATATAAAATTGCTCCGAAAACCATTCCACAAACAAACCCCAAGATGATTCACAAGAACCTTGGATAATGTACTCACACATCTTGGATCTTCCGAGGCAGCCTTTAAAACGCTTTTTGTGGTCCTTGAAGATAACCAATGAAAAATGATTCTTAAAGCAATCTTTAAGGTAAGAGAACAGTTCAAGAAGCTCTTCTACAATCATCTTGAGATTCTTCACCCTTTGACTGAGAATAACACGATAAAATCTTCCAAATGATTAGGGTGTGAAGGATGGTCCAACACGTCCAAAAGGCTTATACTGGTCCCTACGAGAATGATTCAAGACTTTCTATAAGTATTATCTCAAACGCATGAATAAGACCCAATGACTTCTGGCAGAAATTTGACTCTCTCCTTGGCAGCGAGAATATCGTCATTCAGCCAAATGTTTACGAGAATCATCGGGACCTTACACCGTCGTAATCACTCAGCTAAATAATATCAAATATGTTTGAGGTTAATAAATTGTGTCAATTTGTGCAAGCTCCAACATTTAAGTTGTTAAAAGGTGTTGGGGTACCTTGAGGGGTAAGCTATGCTGCAGCATCTCTCTCACCTGGAGTATATAATCTCCTTTGCTTTCCAGAGGTCAATTGATGAGTTGTCAAGATGACCACATACTTCAGTCCTGGTCCTACTAAATTAACTTGGATAGAATCTTTAATAAGGTTCACATATCTGTATCTAGTCCAACATTCCAACTTCAATACTTTCTGATAAATGATAATGTTAAAGCTTCACTTCACATGTTGAAGTTGAATATATCATCTCCTGCATGATCCTCTCCTCAAGAAGGCTCTCAATGTCTAATTTACTCCTAGAAAGATCAGCTGGTAGAGGAGGAGGGGAGCTACAAAACCCAAAGGAGGTTAAAAACACTCCAATTGGTATTAATCAAGAAAAGGGTATAATTTCAAAATATATTTGATCTGGATCGCCATTAAGCAGCATTAGATCTATCATTCCTCCCATTTCTCTTTCAACTTGTCCACTGCTTCTCTTCTCTTTATCAATTGTCATTTGATAGCAGCATTTTAAAGCAAAAGATTGTCTTGCTACAAAATTCCATCACTTTACGTATCTATCAAGAGAATGGCACTGGCTAACTTTACATCTCTAGGAGGAACGGAAATAGTAAAGTTCTAAAAATTTCTTGACTTCGCTGGAATTTCCCTAATTTCAGGACCATATTGGAAAAATCTCTTGTATACCATTGGGTGAAACAATAGTACTGCCCCATTTTGAGGCTTCATAGTTACCCCAGTTTCATGGCTAGGTTCAAAAAGTTTCTTGTGTTTTAACCGAAAAATTCGATTAAAGCAATACGATCTCCAAGAACATTCGGAGATTAGAACTGGATCCTGCAAAAAAGAAGTTAGCACTCCGAAAGTTCTGTCAGTATAGGATTCAATATGTAAAGAATCTTTTAACACAAAATGGTGTCGCCCATCGCTTTCAATTAATCTCTATGAATACTTATTCCTATTATTACCTGTCAGTATAGGATTCAATATGTAAAAGAATCTCTTAACACAAAATGGTGTCACCAATCGCTTTCAATTAATCTCTATGAATACTTATTCCTATTATTACCTATTGGTTTTGAGATTAACCTATGAATATTAAGAAAATTCATATACTAAATCTATTTTTAAAACCCGTTGAAGTCCTCGTATAAAATATTGCTAAGCCTCAAATTGCCTTAAGAAGCCCCGAATTCAACACGCTTATACAAAGAAATATTAATTAAACAAGCTAGTCCGTTCGAATAATTTGGTTTTCAGTTTCGGGAATCTAGAATCTGGACGACTGGACCTAAAATTGGCGATGCGAAAGCCTCAACTCAGTCCTTTTTCCATCCAAAACTACTCCACAACTCTTAATATAGAATCGTTATGGTTTCGTAATTAAGACGACCCCATCTGAGACATCGAAGAAGCTAATTAAAACAAAACTCAACAACTGATGGCATGAATTAACAATCACGTCAGGAATTCAATTCGATTATAAACTGAGAGATTGAAAAATGCGGTTTCTCGTATATGCATTAGCATAACTAAATTGGGTAGAGAACAGCGAAATTACCACTGGAAAGCCTTCATAGGTTCGATGAGATTGATGAGATTGGCATAGCCCTTGATGAGTTTGTCGATCTGATCTTCTGTGATTTCATCTTTGAATTTTGCCAGCAATATGTGCTTCACAATGCGTTTCCCTCCCTCCATCACTACTAATTGTATGCCCCTCTTCAGCTGCTAATAATGAATCGAAGAACAAGAGGAGAAAAAACTCAACGCTCCTTTAATTCGTCTCTCGTTTTCTGTTGTTTACAATTTCTAGGAAATTTGTACTTGATTAATAAAAAAATTTTGAGGGAAAAAATAAAAGTTTACAATTAATTTGCCAAATTGAGTTCATTTTATTCTTTTCCTCCGCTAAAAAAATAGTAATAAATAAATAATTAATTATATAACTTTTGCTTTAGTCAACTTTTATCGTATATTTGTAACTTTTTCATTTTAGTATCTATACGTTTAATATGTCATCGTGATAAATGATTATTTTAAATCTAGTGAGTGAAGTTTAGAAGAAATATTATAAAAATAAAAATAAATGAAACAAAATTATCACAATAAACATTTCAAAAGTATATAAATTAAAACAAAATTATTCTGTTTGTTTTGCAAGTCATCCATTCTTTTTAGATTGGTACAAATTTGACAATTCAAGTAATCCAAATCTATGCATCAACCGTACTTATAAAAGTTTTAAAATAAAAAAATAAAACTTAACAATTAATCAACTATTACATCAACTATTCCACCAAACAAATAACTAATAAAATGAAATCCAAACTTCATATTAGTTAATACAAAATTTAAAATATAAATGACATAGTAGTCTTTCGCGTCAAGTCTCCTCCATGACACCATCCCACATGACTCCTCCTTTTCCGCAATGGAACAATTGGTAAGCTATGCTCATATCATCACATAATCCCATCACTTGAGTAGCTATACAACAAACATTTGACATATACCATATATACCACTCACATACAATATTCTAAGCACATGTAAATGTTCATGAAATACCCTTAATTTATTTAACTTTTACATTATTATTATAAAGCTTTGTTCTTCTGAGCAACAAGGGCATTTGGTCTAGTGGTATGATTCTCGCTTAGGGTGCGAGAGGTCCCGAGTTCAATTCTCGGAATGCCCCTTATTTCATCTTTTTTCCGCATCAGTTATATTATTATTATATTTATGACGCTAAGTAAATAAAATGACCACATAAAACGCAGCACACGTCCGCCGTTTTGTCAACAAATGGTCTCAGTCTCATTAATGATAGCCTCTGCCTCTTTCCCAACTTCCGACCAACCAACCGCCGGAAAATGTCAACTTCCGACCACCGGTATCTTTCATTTCCTCCATTGTTCTTCAGAATTTGAGCTCAAATAAAGTATACCATTCGAACGGCCGATGCACATTGCATAGACCATCTACCTTTTGAATCCTCACGCCGGAAGCTCGAGGCGAGCAGATCTCCGTAGCTGTGCTTCCGCTCTGTTAATTGATTGCCGGGGCCCGACAGCGTTTCTTGAAGTAGATTCTTACCTTAAGTTGCTTTAATTTTTGTTTTTCTTGATATATGATGTTTACTTGTTTAGATACTTGGATTCAGTTTAGCTTTAGTTCATTTCTTGTATGCATTTCGATTCGTAGTTAAGATCCTCAGTGTTTCTTCGATTGAACTAGCTGTAAGTTCTACGTGCTTCTCTTTGAAATTGGATTTTACAAGCCATGGTTATATGCATGTGAGTTAAGAGCTGCCGTTGCTCAGTTCGAGTTTTTTTGTCCATTGCTTGGTAGCTTTAACTAATTGATATCAATAGACCAAAAGGAGATCTTATATCGTAGTTTTTCTTTAGCTTTGAGTATAAATCCGGTGCAATATTTAGGTTTATCTGTTATTTAGTTCAAAATAACTTGGAGACAAAGAAGATCTGGACAGCATATGAGTTTCTTTTCATGTGGGAATTTGCCATGCGGCCCATGCTGATCAAAACATTTCTTTTTTCGTAGAGCTAGTCTAGAATTTTGATGACCTGAGATATTTATTGCTCCATTGATTTGAAACGCATATAAATATGTATCATTTGAAGCATAATGTGAATGCTGAGCCATACGTTCTCTTGTTCTTCGTAGTGGAGTTGCTATAAATATCGTCTCATTGAGATTTAGCTGCTTATAATGAAGTGGTGGTGGCTATAAATAAATATAGAGGAAAAATAAATGAAGAGGTGGTATGGAGGAACGTTCATACTAGCACTCGCCACAATCTTGGCTCTGCGTTATGGCCTTATGAATGTCCACCCTAAAAGGCAATCGGCATATGATTTTTTCAGAAACCATCCGACCAAGGATCCTCATAGTAGAAACAGTGACTCTTTGGAAACTGTAGTGAAAGCATCACAGCGGCCTCATCTTATACATGTTGATGGACTCAGTAATCTAACTGCTCCAGATAATATTACTAAGCGAGAGACAGAGGCCTTACTTCTATGGTCTCATATGCATCCCCTGCTGTCGAGGTCTGATGCTTTGCCTGGAACGGTAGAAGGGGTCAAAGAGGCTTCCATAGCATGGAATGATCTATTGTCAACTATTAAGGCAGAAAAGACCATAAAAGTTGGCAATACCAACAACTCAAAGGATGAAATATGCCCTTCCTCTGTAAGCTCACCTGACGAAATTGCACCGACTGGGGGAGTCATTCTTGAGATTCCTTGTGGTTTAGTTGAGGATTCTTCTATTACCCTTGTTGGCATACCTAATGGACAGCAAGGGGGCTTCCAGATTGAATTGTTGGGCTCTCGGGCTTCCAGAGAGCCAAATCCTCCTATTATCTTGCATTACAGTGTCAGTTTTCCTGGTGACAATATGGCTGAGGAATCATTTATAGTTCAAAGTACATGGACCAATGAACTTAAGTGGGGCAAAGAGGAGAGATGTCCAACCCATCTGGCTGCAAGCTCTCACAAAGGTATATTCATATGATATGTATGTTAGCCCCCAAATGCTCATTGACTTGAGTTGACCATTTGAAATGCTCTTACCGGCCAAGATTGACATATCTTATGTGTAGGTGAAGAAGCCAAATTAATGTAATATTTCGTACCAACTGAATATACCCAAGTCTACATTGCCTATCAGTTTCTGCATTTCTGCATATGATACATTAGAATCATGCTTGTTAGTTGATAGGATGCAGAAAATGAGCAAGTTAAGAAATTCTTTTTGAGTTTTAATTGATGTATTTGCATGGAGTTGGTATAACACTTCATCCCTTGTTGATCTATGGATCTTAAATACATTCTGCTGTATCTTTTTCAGCTTACAGATGAAATTCACTGACAGATCCTCTGGTTGCTAATATATTTTGGAAATAAATATGGCAGTTGATGGACTTGTTCTTTGTAATGAGCGTGTTCTCAGAAGCATTGGAGCAGAAAATATCAGTATGCATCACGATGGTGGTGATCCCCTGACAAATATTTCTAGAGGGCAAGCCCATGAAAGTGTCAATTTTCCATTCATCGAGGGCAATCTGTTCACTGCAACATTGTGGATTGGTTTGGAGGGATTCCATATGACTGTCAATGGAAGACATGAAACCTCATTTGAATATAGGGAGGTAAGGTATGAATTGAGCACTCATTTTCTTAAACATATTATAGTGAACTAATGGTACTGATATGTATGTTTTCATTTTGAGTTGAACTAATGGAATGCTACATGGAAATTCTGCAGAAACTTGAACCATGGACTGTTAATCAAGTCAAGGTAACCGGTGGTTTGGATCTTCTCTCTTCCTTGGCTAAAGGCTTACCAGTTTCTGAGGATCACGAGTTTATTGTTAATTCTGAGCACCTTGGAGCTCCCCCTATCTCCAAGAGAAGACTTCTAATGTTGGTTGGGGTTTTTTCTACTGGAAATAATTTTAAGCGTCGTATGGCCTTGAGAAGGACTTGGATGCAATATGAGGCTGTACGTACTGGTGACATAGCAGTCCGATTTTTCATAGGCTTTGTAAGTGAAAATTGCGATCTGCAGATTCTTATCATATATTGGTTTAATTTGACCCTACAATTTTCAAATTCTCCTATGAACTTGTTGCTTTGCTTGTATAGTTGTATTGAGGCTGTAGTTCTTTTTTCCCTATCATTTTCTTGTCTATAATCTTTGGAGTCATCTACTTTTCCTCATATTTTATTTGATGACTAAAAAAGGGTAAAAATAATATGTGTTCTCTTTAGCGATTTTCTTCCATGCCAATTTCTGCCATGGATAAGCAGCTTAGTATTGGAGACTGCTACTGCTGCTCTGTTGTGAACAATCTAGGATTGGGATGTTTCAACTTTCAACTTCGAAATCGTGATCAGTTCTTACAAAGAGACCGAATAACGATGGCAAAAGGACCAGAGTAAAAAAATGTTACTAGTGTATTTGTTATAGTAATTTACTGTCATACCTCCGATTAGACATTGGTTCAAGCAGTTAATGCTGTACTCAATTTCTACCATTTTCTGCTTATTCTCTTGTTACTGGATAACTTGCTGCTGCAGGATAAAAACGCACAAGTCAATTTGGAGCTGTGGAGAGAAGTGGAAGCTTATGGTGATATTCAGTTGATGCCTTTTGTTGATTATTACAGCTTGATCACTTTGAAAACAATTGCAATTTGCATGTTTGGGGTATGTCTATACATATAATAACCCACCCTTTCACTTGTTTTGTTATTTGAAACCATTCTCATGGACGTTTTACGTCCCCACGTGGCACTTAAAGTATCTACAGTCTATAATTTTTTATCTTGACATTTTCAGAGCAAGATTCTTCCTGCAAAATATATCATGAAGACAGATGATGATGCATTTGTTAGGATTGATGAAGTCCTATCTGGACTAAAGAGCAGGCCAGCTACTGGCCTATTATATGGTCTTATTTCCTTTGATTCATCACCCCATAGAGATAAAGACAGCAAGTGGCATATCAGTCCTGAGGTATCAGACTCAAAACTTTATCTTGGATTGGTTTGATATGTTTTTCTTATGATAGCGACTCTTGCTTTCTGTTGGCTTTGTTTTTGTACACAGTTAAAACTGCCCACAAGTGAACTCTTAATACTTTTGAGAGAAAGTATCTCTCTTTAGCCTTGTGTGTCCAAAGTATTTTGTAATTACTCCTTAGGTTGGCCCGCTTTTCTAGTTTGATTATTTTTGTTGGGCAGTTCTTTTTGTATGTCCTCCTATTTTTATTTCATTTATCTTGAGGAAAGCTTAGATTTTCAGTTAAAAAAAAATTGACAGAAAATGAAACTGCAGAGGATTTGAAAATAGGACTTTTGGCTCTCTCATATCATGTTACCCAAACGTTTAGGCTCATAAGTTAAGTTGGATGTTGTTCTTTATGATGTACAATTACCGCTAAACTCGAAAGTGGGTTCACAAGTCGAATTATTGGAGAAAATTGACATTGCATGGATGTGAATATTGAACGACTTTCTCTCGTACCATATCAAACTAGTAATACCCTCCAAAGTTTAATCTGATGAGTTAAAATAGATTCAATCTTTTATACATGTTATTATCACGTAGGAATGGCCAAATGCAACATACCCTCCTTGGGCACATGGTCCCGGATATGTCATATCACGAGACATCGCAAAATTCATCATCCAAGGCCACCAGACTAGAGTCCTCAAGGTAAAATACAAGCATTCACCTAGCTAGCTTTTCCTATAAACTGCAAAAGCATAATGGCTCTTCTTATGTCTTGTGTCTTATTTGGAACCATATTTCTCTGTGTTCAGCTTTTTAAGCTTGAAGATGTTGCAATGGGCATATGGATTGAGCAATTCAGCAGAAGCGGGAAAGAGGTACAGTACATCAATGAAGAAAGGTTTTACAACTCTGGCTGTGAATCCAATTACGTTCTGGCCCATTATCAAAGCCCAAGATTGGTTTTATGCCTTTGGGAAAAGCTGCAGAAGCAGTTTGAACCCAATTGCTGTGATTAGTGTTTATTTGATTAGGATCGGGTTGTTTTATGAAAATATTTGAAATCTATTGGGATTATGATAAAGAATGATGACGTTTTGAGACAAGGGAAATCTCTGTTAGTTCTGTTTCATTTTTCTAACAGAAGGTAGAGTTGTATTGTAACGTATGAAATTGAACATGATTTCAAAGAAATAGCCCACTTATTTTTTCGGAGCAAAATATTAAATTTGTTGTAGTTCATGAACTTAAATATTAAATTTGTTGTAGTTCATGAACTTAGGCTTTTAGGTTGATTGGAGATTTGACATATTTTTTTGTTAAAATATGTGTTGGTCTTTGTATTTTATTCATAACGGTCAATTCCTTGATAGTGTAAGTTTGATTCAAAATAATCTATTCATGAATCTTAATGTAGGTATGGTTGAGTTTCGTATACCTTCTCATTTAAACACTTTTTAAGCAAATATTTTTTCTTAAAACACTTTTTATAAAAATTGCATTAATCAAAATACTCTATAATTGGTTACATTTTCTTACAAGTGATTTTAATAATTAGTTTGTTTGGTTACTTAGTTGGAGGCCATTTATTGCGTGTCACGTGTCAACATCACATGCAATCGTATTTAGAACAATAAAAAGACTCAACCGCATCTTTCAGGTTGATACAAGACTCAATAGCTCGGTAAGTGGAAGTCGAGCCGAGCTATGTATTACCTTATGGCCAACCTTCAATAGGTATGAGTCGACCCTGAAGAGTACCTATGGACATGAAGACAACGAAAATGTTATTCGACAACACGTCGCATTTTTCGGGCAGCTGTAAAGTCATTGGAGGGCTGTTAGGAGTTAATCTCTATAAATAGGGACCCCTACCTCCACACAAGGTACACGAAACCATTTCTCCCTAGAGGATTAGATTGGATTGTGTATTGATGATCAATTTCACGATCAAACATTCTCTATTTCTAATAGTGATTTTACAAGTGCCAGATTACAGTAAAATAAATCTAAAGTGAACTCATGACCAATCATTTAAAGTCGTTTTTTGCGTAATAAACTTTAAAGTGATTATAAAAGGATATAGATCATAAAATTAATTTTATTTTATTGTTTCAAATATTATTTTAAGCACAACATATGGAGATAGGGATCGAATTCACAACCTCTTGATTGGACATATATGACAATTACCGCATAGATATACTCGCTTTTACTTATTGTTTCAAATGTTATTTCTATTTGTTACCAAATATTTAACCAAATTTGGTACTTTAAAATCACTTGTTATCCAATCATACTCCATATGAAATCAAAATACATCATATGATTCAAAATAATTAAAAGTGATTCGATTATTTACTTTTCTTTTAATAATATATCCAAATATATATATCTATATATATATATATATTGCAAATGAATATATCCAAATATTTATCTATTAGTATTTGGTCTAACAATATTCCCAAGTTGGAAAGACTCCATGTGAACCAACCAACAAATAAAATGAGGATATTTTATTAAATATAGAGTTTTTTTTTTACCATAAATTATGAATATTGGCCTGCACCATACATTGTGGGGTGATTTATTGTTTGGGGAAAAAAACAAACATTTTCGAATAAACAAGGAGGCAAAAGGGGCAAATCAAATAAAATCAATGCCTACTTTTGCATAAATTAAATAAACTTATCAATCATGATCCATGACTACTTTACTTGGTTTATTATAATTATATCAACCAGGATATTAGGACCGCTCGATAGTGGTGTTGTTTTTTGTTTATCTTTTTGCCTTGTCGTTCTTGTTTTCTTTTTTTCAATAAATAAAAATATAAATGTATTTGGCAATTCTTTATCTTATTATTTTTTGTCATTTTTATTTTATTGAAAAAAATTGAAACATATTTCATAACCGTTTATTATTTAATGTTTTCCGAAAATTGTTTCTTTAACTAAATATTCAACTTCTATGTTATATATTTTACATTCCACGAGACAATAAGGATGAAATAATGCTTTCATTTATGTTTACAAAAGAAAAAAAATGAAACGAGAACCACAAGCCATAAAATTGATTTTGTTGTTTCGAGGATTTCTATACATTTTTTCTTAAAAATAAGAAACAAAAAACATAAATAATAAATAATTACCAAACTTTTACATTTCTACAAGGTGTCAATAAAAAACAAGAAAATAAATAATGATTTTAACAAACAAACCTTTTAGATATATAATGTTTTTAAAGATATTTAAATATATCATTAAATTGTGTATTTGTAACCTTATATGGTCATTAATGTGTTTAAAGATATTTAAATATATAATAAAATTGTGTATTTGTAACCTTATGATCATTATCATTTTCATGTTTGATATTTAGATATTTAATAAAGCATTTGTAATTTAAATCATGCGACTTGAAAACTTGGACCAAATATATATAATTTTTTTCAATAAAAAGAAAATGTAATTTATCATAAATAAAACGATTATCAAGTTTAATTATTTTCAATTACGTTTCAGTTATTTTAAATTCTATCTAATCGATTGTGAAATCATACCTGTCGACAGCAGAGAAAATGTATATAAGCCTATTTTAGAGTATAAGAATTTTAAACATATATAAAATTTAACTACTACCATAAATTTAATATATATTTTTAAAAAGTATCATAATTTTCGAAGTTTTTCAAGTATATTATAAACTTACCGTTAATATATCTTCGACCAAAATAAATAGTTATGAAAGTGGGAGTTGAAACTCATATCTCAAGAGATGGAGCAATATGTCTTAAGACTAAACTTGTGTTGACAATGTAACTAAAATTGCTGAATATGTATAAATTAGTTAAGACATATATCATATATTTTCAGGACACTTTAACATTTAGACGTAATAGTTGCCCACATAAACTTAGATAAATGATTAAGGTATTTACTCATGCATTGTAAGTCAAAAATTCAATCCTCTATTGATAAGAAAAGAAAAAAACTGTTGAAGAAAAATTAAACAGAAACAAATACATAATACTATGAGCTATGATCACGTTGTCATGAAATATCTAACTTGGAAGTTTATTTATTTATTTTTTAATTCATATCTTCGAGTCACTAAAGTGTAGAATAATAAAATAGAGGCCAAAAGAAATGTTCAGCAGTGACATATATCTCCAGATAGTGAGTTGGAATCTCCTCCCAGCATATTATACTTAAAAAAAACAGAGAAATAAGAAAACCGAAACGACAATTTACCAAATTTACCCTTCCAAGAAAATGTCTCACGAGCTCTCATAAATATCGGGTAATAATAAGTAAAAGTAAAACTCAATAAGGGAAAATGAAGAATTTTTTGCAGGCGAGAGAAAGAGAAGGATAAGTAATATCTGACGGTCGGAAATGGGCAACCGCTTGAGCCGATCGATGGCCACGGTCGAGTTTGACCGGCAACTATAAAGCTCGAGAACTGTCCTTAATTTCACAATAGTCTAGTTCTCGAAAGAAACCGCCCGCTTATTCTGCTCTCTCTGTTCGCGGGTGAAAGTTACAAGGGCATAGGTTTTTTTGTTCGTACTATCTCTCTAAATCTAGCACCATTCAATGGCTCTCTTCTCTTTTGGCGTCAATCATCGCCTGCACGTTGCCTAATTGGGGATTCAGAGCCGAAGAAACTCGTTGCAATAAGGATTATTCCCATTTCCATCATGTTCGAAGCTCACGTAAGGCTTTTTATCGGATTTGCGGAGTTCAATGTTGAACATTAACTGTTTCATCTCTTTTTTGCGACTTATATATAAATTTTGGAAAGTTCAATATTGAATGCATACAGTTTGATCTCTTTACGCGTGTTTAATTATGTAGTTGATTACTTGTCTGTGATCACGATCATATTGATGCTCCAAGAGTTCTCTGGATTGCTGTAGTTTCACACTTGATGCCAATGGTCTTTCTCTAGTATTGCATAGCGATATTCAACGTTTTGGGTCGGTCTTGGAGTTTGGAACCGACATAGTCGCTTTCTGTTTTATGATTATAGTCAAGAAGGAAGTCAGCTCTGCCTCTCAACTTAGTGGACGTGGTAGGACGTGTCGTAATGCCCGTGAGGATAAGATGCCTGGGAAAAAAGAAAGGTTAACTAATAAACAATTGGGTCGTATGGTTTTTCTTTGGGTGAAAGGCTAAGGTCGTTCAATTCTATTAATATTCATGGGGATCCTTAACAAATTCATTGTATTCTCTTAGTTAGTAAACCTGCCACTATACATCAACTATGTAATGCTTGTCTTTTATTGTCTATTTTTGTTGTGGTACGATCTAAGCTATTTGTTCTAGCTACCGAGTCACTGACAGTTTTTATAATTAATATGCCTGCTACCAAAATTGTTTTAAATCTCACTAGTGATACAGATATGTGATCATATTGTGATGTTCTGATGCTTAGTTGTCATGATACATCTTTGTAGGTTTTGCATTTGCTTAGAAGATATTTGGGGGAATATGTCCAAGGACTCTCGTTAGAGGCTTTAAGAATAAGTGTCTGGAAAGGTTTGTTTACGAATTGTTCGCTTACTAGCATGTTTGGTTTTGTAAAGCCTGAGTATCTATTATTTGTTAGTTGATTAATGATCTGAAAGTTCATATTATGATTTGCAAAATATCTTATTGCTAATCAGAAGTTTTACTCGTTTACATGATAGAATATTGTACGTTAAAGTATATAAGCACACTTATATTTTTACAAAAATAACATATTGTGTGGTTTTTTAGATGTGACACATGAAATGCTGTGACTTGTTTTCTATTTGCAGATTTTGTTATTTTTTAAAAAATTTTTTTGAATGAGAAACAAACTTTTCATTGATTAATGAAAATAAACAAACAAGTTCAAAGGGTAAAACTTCCTAAGAGTGAAAGGGAAATGAAAAGAAAAATATGCTGAAAATGAGATATGTAGGCATCCCAATTAATACAAATTTCAATGCAAGAATAGTTATAAAAGATTTAGAAAGAGAACATGTTGAGAATTCTTGAACTTGGCTAGATCAAATTGTTCTTCCTGACAAATTTGTTCTGAAAATTATTTGATGGTGCTCAACCCATAATTTCAAAATCCATTAATC